GAACCCATGAACCATGAGATCATGACCTGAGCCGAAGTCTGACGGCCAACCGACTGAGCCATCCAGGTGCCCCAAACATTTAAAAAAATTTTTAAAAAATATTTGCTAATTTAAATGCAGATCCATACAGGGTCCATTATTATATTGGTTGATAGATCTCTTAAATACCTTTTTAAAAAAAATTTTTTTAAAGATTTTATTTTTATTTATTTTTAATTATTTTTAATGTTTATTTTCGAGAGAGAGAGAGAGAGCAAGTGGGGGACGGGCAGAGAGAGAGGGAGACACAGAATCTGAAGCAGGCTCCAGGCTTTGAGCTGTCTGCACAGAGCCCAAAGCAGTCTTGAACTCATGAACCACGAGATCATGACCTGAGCCAAAGTTGGACGCTTAAGTGACTGAGGCACCCAGGTTCCCCTAAAGATTTTATTTTTAGGTAATCTTTACACCCATCATGGGGCTTGAACTCACAACCCTGAGATCGAGTCCCATAATCTACCAACTGAGCCAGCCAGGCACACCCCTTTCTTAAATATCTTTTAATCTATAGATTCTCCCCCTTGCCTTAAAAAAAAATTTTTTTTTTAAATTTGAGTTTAGTTGACACATAGCGTTACGTTACTTTAGGTGCAGCATAGTGATTCCACTTCTCTGTACATTATTCTGTGTTCACCACCCCCCTTGCCTATTTTATTTTTTTTTTCAACGTTTTTTTATTTATTTATGGGACAGACAGAGACAGAGCATGAACGGGGGAGGGGCAGAGAGAGAGGGAGACACAGAATCGGAAACAGGCTCCAGGCTCCGAGCCATCAGCCCAGAGCCTGACGCGGGGCTCGAACTCGCGGACCGCGAGATCGTGACCTGGCTGAAGTCGGATGCTTAACCGACTGCGCCACCCAGGCGCCCCCCCCCTTGCCTATTTTAAACGACTTTATATTTTAAGAACAATTTAAGGTTCATAGTAAAATTGAGGGAAAGGTATTTAGAGAGATTTCCCATATACCCCCTATGCTCACATATGCACAACCTCTCCCATTTTCAGTATCCCCTACCAGAGTGGTACCTTTGTTGCACATTCGTACCATACGTACTTTGTAGCATTGTATTTAACAGTAATCCAGAAATCTGTTTTTTCCAGAAAAACTATCAAGAGCCTGGTATTCAAGACCTTCCAATAGATTAGCCCCATCTTACCCCTTCAGTCTCTCTACCCTCTCTCACTCTAGTATTACCAGGGTGTTACAGAACGTAAACTGGTCTTTCGGACCCTTCAGAAAACATTTAAATTTGCACTTCTAGACTTATTCATAATGTCTTCTCAGCTTGAAATGCTTACTCGATCTACTTTTTGCCTGTCTAGTTCTTTTAATGCCCACCTTAAACCTCCATGAGGTCTTCTAATTTTCCTGACCAGAAGCAATCTTTCTTTTGAACTTTTGCGGCTTTTTTAAAATCACTTTTTACTATTTTGCTATTTAAGTGGCACAAATGGTATTATCGGGTATATCCAGTATTGTAACTAGTTTGGTTTGGGTATAAGCTCTCTAGACAGCCTCATAGGTCTTTCTGTCTGGTTTCTGGCTTAATGTTCTGAGAACTTGTTGGTGTATCTCTCCACAATTAGACTGTGAACTTGTCGAGGACAGGGACTATGGTTTAATGGCATTTGTGACAGTGGTGCCAGGCACCTAAAAAGTACTCAGTAAATGTTTATTGAATAAGTGAGTGAATTTATATGAGAAAACTGGTACATGATCAGCGTATGGATTTTTGTGAAGGGCTATTTAATCACCGTAAAAAAATTGGTCTCGGGTGCTTTGCTGGCTCACTTGGGCTTGGGGTTGTGAGTTCGAGTCCCATGTTGGGTATAGAGATTACTTAAAATAAAATCTCAAAAAAAAATTGGTGTCAGATATTTGATTTTCTCTAATTTATATAATTTATATCCATTTACAGGTATTCTGCTGGATTCGTATAGTATACATCTAAGAGTATACTATATATGTACCACACATACATATATATACAGTATATACTATATTACATAATATATTATTGTATTATAATGTAGTATACTGTGTTATATAATTATACTATATTGTAGTATATTCTTTGTTCTTTTTTTTTCTCTTGCAAAACTAATCCATTAATAAATGATTGCTGGGACGCCTGGGTGGCGCAGTCGGTTAAGCGTCCGACTTCAGCCAGGTCACGATCTCACGGTCCGTGAGTTTGAGCCCCGCATCGGGCTCTGGGCTGATGGCTCAGAGCCTGGGGCCTGTTTCCGATTCTGTGTCTCCCTCTCTCTCTGCCCCTCCCCCGTTCATTATCTGTCTCTCTCTGTCCCAAAAATAAAATAAACGTTGAAAAAAAAAATTAAAAAAAATAAATGATTGCTTATCCCAAATGTCAGTTTCCTGCATTAGTTCGGATGATCAAGAAGTCCTAAAAAAAAGAGAATACAAAGATGATTTAAAATATATTGACTTATATTGATTTATTTGATTTGATTTATATTGATTTTATTGATTTTATTGATTTATATTGATATATATATATTATAAATATATATATGATTTAAAATATATTCCTAGACTTACTTCCTTTTTTATGACTTTGGACATTTGAGCATTGGGGGGAAGTGTTTATATGGTAATTTAGAAATTAAATTATACCAACTGTGCATATACTTGCTTAAAAATGTATTTGTGAACTACTGTGATAAGTTTAATATTTACTTTCTTTCAGCCTGCTTGAATTTCCTGAAGTTGTGCAAAATAAAATATTACAATTATTGTCTTATTCACAATGTACAGGTAAGTTGGTAGATATTAGTCATGTCTATTATTGGAACCACTTAGCAAACTCTGTGATTTAATAATGTATCCTATTTATTATAGAGGGATTTTATTATACAAACTGGTGATCCTACAGGGACTGGCCGTGGAGGAGAGTCTGTTTTTGGGTGAGTTCTTTTGTTTTTAAATGAGAAAAAATAGAATTGCCTCTTAACAGTGTTAACTAGCATATTTCAATCAGCTTTTTATTTTATTTATTTATTTTTTTTTTAATTTTTTTTTTTTCAACGTTTATTTATTTTTGGGACAGAGAGAGACAGAGCATGAACGGGGGAGGGGCAGAGAGAGAGGGAGACACAGAATCGGAAACAGGTTCCAGGCTCTGAGCCATCAGCCCAGAGCCTGACGCGGGGCTCGAACTCCCGGACCGCGAGATCGTGACCTGGCTGAAGTCGGACGCTCAACCTACTGCGCCACCCAGGCGCCCCTCAATCAGCTTTTTAAAATATCATTCAAAGATAGATTTTTCCCTAAAGTTCCCTAAATGTCTATAGCAAAAAAGAGTATTTTGAATCATAATGGTATTTCTACAAAGAAATGGCAGTTCTGTTTGGTACTAGTACTTCTGTATTTCATATTGAGGGTACTTATATTTTAAAGCTTTATTATGTATTTTTTCAGTCAACTGTATGGTGATCAAGCAAGCTTTTTCGAAGCTGAAAAAGTACCAAGAATTAAGCACAAGAAGAAAGGCACTGTGTCCATGGTGAACAATGGCAGTGATCAACATGGATCTCAGGTGAGGAAATGAGTGAGAAGATGGATTTTGTTTTAAAATGAAGGACTAGAAAGAGCCACAGAGTTATCTTTTCAAACTACCCAATAAGAAGATAATTGCAAAGATAGTTGTTAGAAGAAAAATATTACACTATATTTTTTTCCATATAAAAAAATTTGGGGGGTGCCTGACTGGCTCAGTAGGTAGAGTGTGCGACTCTTAATGTCGGGGTTGTGAGTTAGAGCTTCATGTTGGGTGTAGAGATGACTTAAAAGTAAAATATTTAAAAAAATTTATTTTGTTCTTTTAAATGTAAGGTATGTCCATTGTGAGGAGATCAGAAAATACAGAGCAGTACATGGGAGAAAATAGCATCTACAATCCCACTATCCATGGATCATCACTGTTGACATTGTGGTCTGTTTCCTTTTGGTATTTTATTACTTCAAAACAGATCATGTTGAGAACCTTTCATTCATTGTCTCGTTTAATCCTTACAACAACCCATTTTGGGGTAGATGTTTTTTTTTTCCTCACAGTTCACATGTGAGGAAACTGAGCTTTGGTTTGCCCAAGTATGTTAAGCAATCAGGGAATACTTTTTAAAAGTAACAAGTGGGTAAGAATCCACACAGTTAATGTGAAGTATTACTTTTGTGTATTTTTTCTATCAGTCTGTCATTGATTTCAGTTAGAATTATAGATATATTTTTATATTTTGCTGTGTCTTTCTATGCAGTTTCTTATTACTACAGGAGATAATCTAGATTACCTTGATGGTGTTCATACGGTGTTTGGTGAGGTGACAGAAGGCATGGACATAATTAAGAAAATTAATGAGACCTTTGTTGACAAGGACTTTGTACCATATCAGGATATCAGGTGTGTTTGCTGTCTCAATGTACTAGAATGTTTTAATACTGTAGTGTTTGACACATAGTGGAGATATCAAGTGCAGGACTGGTTTTTGGATAATTCCAAAATGTGTATTAATACAAGACTATAAAACTCCATAAAGTAAACAAGATTTTTTTGTATTTTTATACTTGTACTAATTAATTATAGTTGCTTATGTTGGGAAGAATTATTAATCCTTTAATTTAGTTTTTTTTTTAAATTTTTTTTTTTCAACGTTTTTTATTTATTTTTGGGACAGAGAGAGACAGAGCATGAAAAGGGGAGGGGCAGAGAGAGAGGGAGACACAGAATCGGAAACAGGCTCCAGGCTCCGAGCCATCAGCCCAGAGCCTGACGCGGGGCTCGAACTCACGGACCGCGAGATCGTGACCTGGCTGAAGTCGGACGCTTAACCGACTGCGCCACCCAGGCGCCCCTAATTTAGTTTTTAAAAAATGCATATTGAGAAATAATGGCAAAACTACTAAGATTTAGACATTTATGTTAATATTAGACATGTTATTTTAGAGCAATGCAGAGTAGTAAATCTAAGATAAATGATACTCTAGTAATATATCCTTGTGCATTAAAATTTAAGTGCCTATGGTTTTTTGTCATTAGGGATACTTAAGACATTTGTTATAACCTTTATAAAAAGTAAAACATGGATTCTGAAATAATGTAAATGTAACCTTTTGACTTGGATTTATTTTGTAAGGATAAATCACACAGTGATTTTAGATGATCCGTTTGATGACCCTCCAGATTTATTAATCCCTGATCGATCACCAGAACCTACAAGGGAACAGCTCGATGTAAGTAGAGCCTTCTTGTGATTGAATGTATGTGCATACTAATGCTTTGCATAGATTTTGCTTTTTAGTCCGTTAAAACTTATTTCTTCAGAATGTCTTGCTTGATCAGTTGTACTAGGACAAGTTTAGAATTATTTTTTCCTTTCCCTAATTTCTTTTCATTTCCCTGATTTTCTTTCTTCAATTTCTGTTCCACCAGTAGAGCCTTAGCTCTAGAAGTTTATGTTAATACCTTGTGAAAATGTTTTTCTTATCTCCTAACTCTGTGTAGGAGTATAGCTTTAAGGCTAAATTAAACATCATCTTGTAAGGGAGCTTTTCAACTGGGGACATTCTGGAGCTATACTAGAACCTCGATATTTTTGTGGCATAATGCAGACTTTTTCCTCTTATGTTTTAAGGTATAAGTTTCTGTTTATGAAGCTTTGTCAAAGCTGAATTGATTTTTATAGTTGGGATTTGGTGCTTAACTTTTAAGATCATTTATCTTCTGCATTCAGCACTGAGTTGGATACTAGATAGTTTCTTTAAAAATGTTTATCTTGATTTAACAATAAATTAGAAGCTTGGTCTGGCCAATATTATCACATTAATTTAAAATAATTTTCTGAGGCTTGTAAGTTTGTTTTGAGTTTCTGTTCTAACATATTTGATGGAACTAAGGATAAAGTGTCATGTCTCCCATGTTTCTCAGATTTTTCAATTCTTTCAGTATATTTTTAAGTGGCTTCTGCCTTACAGAGTGGTCGAATAGGAGCAGATGAAGAAATTGATGATTTTAAAGGAAGATCAGCTGAAGAAGTAGAAGAAATAAAGGCAGAGAAAGAGGCTAAAACTCAAGCTATTCTGTTAGAAATGGTAAGATGATTATTTTTGGTCATATAGTTGTTCTGAAATTTATTTAATATATAACTCATTGTAAATTTATTTTTGGCTCTTTGATAATCAAAATATTAAAAACTTAGCTTTGAATTTTTTCTGGATTAAATTTTATAGGACACATGAAAGGTAAACAAATTTTGGTTCCATTATCAATATAGTGCTAAGTGCCTTTTTCAAAAATAGGCAGTGGATATACAACTTCGAATATGGGTTGAATTTCAATTATTTATATTCATCTCATTTATTTATTTTATTTTAGAGGGAGTGTGCGTGTGTGTGAGCTGGGGAGACGGGCAAAGGGAGAGGGAGAAAGAGGGAGAATCCCAAGCAGCTCCAAGCTCAGCACAGAGCCCAGTATGGGGCTTAATCCCATGACCTTGGGATCATGACCTGAGCCGAAACCAAGAGTTGGATGGCTTAACCAACTGAGCCACCCATGTACCCCTATTTATCTCATTTTTATTTTATTTTATTTTTTTTTTAAATTTTTTTTTTCAATGTTTTTATTTTATTTTTGGGACAGAGAGAGACAGAGCATGAACGGGGGAGGGGCAGAGAGAGAGGGAGACACAGAATCGGAAACAGGCTCCAGGCTCTGAGCCATCAGCACAGAGCCTGACGCGGGGCTCGAACTCACGGACCGCGAGATCGTGACCTGGCTGAAGTCGGACGCTTAACCGACTGCGCCACCCAGGCGCCCCTTATCTCATTTTTAAAGAGTGTTTATTGCACTGAATTTTATGTATATTAATAATTCTTTGTACAACTCAAGTATTGAGGTTAAGTAGTTACAGGAGGAAGGAACCTGTGTAGAAATTGAGCACCCTAAAACATACTGCTTTGTATTATTAACAGTATGAAGTCCTTTGGGGAACAGTTCTTCAATAGTGATTAATTGACCTACCAGACATTTTTTCCATTTGTTAATTTTTTGTGGAATAGGCATACCTAGCACACAGTAGATCATCAATAAATATTTGAATGAATAATTCAGTTTTTATTATCATTGTTTTACATAGTAGAGCTTGCAGATTCTTGTCCTGTTTCAAAATTCATTGTTCTCATCTCGAGCTGAAGGAACAAATATTAAAGGTTACAATTCAAGAAAACTTTACTGAATTAAAAAAAAATTGAAAATACACTTTTTAATGAGCATACTGTGTATCTGGAACTATTGACCCAGAACAACCAACAGAATAACAAGTTCTAAGAAAATTACTGCACTTAAAAGAAAAATCTTTTGAGCAACTGGGCAGGAAGAATATGTGACTTATAAGTGAAAGAACATTATATTAGCATCAGAATTTCAAAAGCAAAAGTACAGGCAATTTATGCCAGGAAGATGTTGGGTTAGCATAACAAAACCTTTTATTTTTCAGATAATTTCAAATTTATGAGAAAGTTAAAAAAGTAGTACAGAGAACTTCTCCATACCTTTTACTCAGATTCACCAATTTTTAACATTTTTGCCACATCTGCTTGATTATTCATTCTCCCTTTCCCTCTCCTGTCCTCCTCTCTCCAATTATACATGTATATACACATATTATTTTTTCTGGACCATTCGAAAGTGAGTCCTAAACATCATTCCTTTTTACCTCTTATATCAGTGTGCATTTTCCTAAGAGCAACAATATTATTGTGCATATTCACAGTACAGTTATCAAAATCCGGAAATTTAAAATTGATAAAAATTTTACCCATGTTTCAATTTTGTCAGTTATTTCAGCAATATCCTTTATAACTTTCCGCATAAAGTCTAGAATCCAGCTCTTAACTGATCATCTGTTGCATTTAGTTATCATGTTTCTTCTAACCTTTGAAAGAATTCCTTAACCTATTTTTAATGCTGTTAACATTTTTGAGGAATACAAGCCATCTGTTTTATAGAATATTCAACAGTTGCCTTGTGATTAGATTCAGATTATGTGCACAGACAGAATACTACATAAGTGACCTTCTCAGATGTTACACTTGCAGTAACAGGTCCGCAATATCCATCTGCCCTTCATTGGAAAGTGTTCATTTTGATTACTTGATCAAGGTAATCCTCTGCCTGGTGTCTCCATTGTATACTTGGTTTTTCCCTTGCAGCTAGTAAACAATCTGTAGCATTTGAGACCTTTCAAATGTCTTGTCCCTTATCAAACTGTCTCTGTGGATTTCTCAGCTGTTCATGATTCTTGTCTCAACCAGCCTTTACTTTGATGAATGTAGAGTGGTGATTTTCTAATTCCCACTACTTCTACACTTGTCAGTCTGCCTTCTACTGTCAGGAATGGCCCTTCTTTTTTATCTTTTTATTTATATGTGCATTTTTACTAAGGACTCATGGATTCTTTTTTTTGCTTTGACTTTAATAAATTTGGAGTTTATATATTCTTTTAAGACTTTACTTTTTTTTAAATGTTTATTTATTTTTGAGACAGACAGAGAGACAGAGTGTGAGCAGGGGAGGGGCAGAGAGAGAGGGAGACAGAATCCGAAGCAGGCTCCAGACTCTGAGCTGTCAGTATAGAGCCTGACGCGGGACTTGAACCCATGAACCATGAGATCATGACCTCAGCCGAAGTCAGATGCTCAACCGACTGAGCCACCCAGGTGCCCCAAAGATTTTACTTTTTTAAGTAATATTTACACCGAGCATGGTGCTTGGTGAGATCACAACCCCAAGATCAAGAGTCGCATGCTCTACCGACTGAGCCAGCCAGGTACCCCTAAGTAGATTTTATTTTTTAGGGCTGATTTAGGTTTACAGAAAGATTGAATAGAAAGTAACAGATAATTCTCTGTGCACACTCCTCCCTCTCCCCAACAGTTTCTCTTATTATTAACATCTTGCATTAGTGTGGTAGATATGTTACACTTGGTGAGTCAATATTTGATAAATTATTATTAACTAAAGTCCATAATTTACATCAGGTTTCACTCTGTGTTGTACATCTTGTGAGTTTTGAGAAATGTGTAACAACATGTATCTGTCATTACAGTATCATACATAATAGTTGCACTGCCCTAAAAATCCTCTGTGCTCACATATTCATCTCTCCCTGCCCCCCTCCCCTGGCAGCCACTGGTCTTTTTTTACTGTCTGCATGGTTGCGTTTTCCAGAATGTCATACAGTTGGAATCACATAGTATGTATCCTTTTAAGATTGCCTTCTTTCACTTAGCCATTTGCACTTAAGATTCCTCCGTGTATTTTTGTGGCTTGATAGCTCATTTCTTTTGATCACGAAATAACATTCCATTGTATGGAATGCACCACAGTTTGTTTAAACATTCACCTATTAAAAAATGTCTTGGGGCAGCTGGGTGGCTCAGTCGGTTAAGTGTACAACTCTTGATTTCGGCTCAGGTCATGATCTCAAGGCTGTGAGATCAAGCGCCGGGCTCTGTGCCGGGCATGGAGGCTGCTTAGGATTCTCTCTCTCCCAGCTTGTGCATGTGTGTACTCTCTCTCAAAAAAAGTGTCTTGATTGCTTCCAAGTTTTGGCAAGTATGAACAAATCTGCTGTAAACGTTTGTGTACAGATTTTTGTGTGGACAGAAATTTTTAACTCCTTTGGGCAAATACCTAAAGATGCAATTACTGGAATTTATGGTAAGATTATGTTTATCTCTAAAAAACTGCCAAACTGTCCTCCCAACTAGCTGTCCATTTTGCATTCCCACCAGTAATGATGGAGAGTTCCTATTGCTCTACATCCTTGTCAGCATTTGGTATTGTCAGTGTTTTGGATTTTAGCCATTCTGATATGTGGTTGTGTGTTGTTTTGATTCTCACTATTAACAGGTTTCATCTTTTATTTATTTATTTTTTTTAAAGTAAGCTCTATGCCCAGTGTGGGGCTTGAACTCACAACCCTGAGATCAAGCATGTTCTATCAACTGAGCCAGCCAGGTGCTCCAGATTGTTGTCTTTTGTTAGGCTTCAGAAGCACTGAGCAGATCTAACTGGCTCTGTTGCTTATTACTGTTTCTGATTTGAAAAAAAAAAAAAAAATTTTTTTTAAGTGTGTTTATCCAAGAGGAGATACTTCACATGATAGTGTTATCAGAAATCATTAGTGAGAGTTTTCAAATTTATGTATAAAGAAGTATTGTTTGCCCATCTAAAGGCCCATGGCAAATACAGGGTTGCCACAATGAAACCATTTCCATCATGTGTTCTCCCACAGTTACCCTCATTGGTCCTTTAGTAGAACTGGGATACCGTACTCAGTGCAGTAGTTGGTTGTGAAGTCGAGTTCATTTTGGTTGAAGTAGAAGATGATAGTGAGGGTGAGAGTAAAAAACAAGAAACACTCTCCCTGAATTATTGCTGTTCCATATCAAACAACAGTGCAGAAAGAATGGAGCATTACTAATGCAGAAAGCTAGTGTCAGTATGATCATATTTTTCAAAGGTTTAAAAACAAGCAAAACTAAATTATATTGCTTGGGGATGCATATTTATTTGAGAAAACTCTGAAGATACAGGAGGATGGCCAAAAAGGAAAACCAAAAAGCAGGATATTTGTTACTCTGGTGAGACAGAGTAATGGGATCAGGGGACATTTTAGTTCTTTTTTTTTTTTTTTTTAATGTTTATTTATTTTGAGAGAGAGAGAGAGAGAATGCAAGCAGGGGAAGGGCAGAGCCAGGGAGAGAGAGAAGGAGAGAGAGAATCCCAGGTAGGCTCCAGGCTACCAGTTCAGAGCCCAACATAGAGCTCAATCCCATGAACTGCGAGATCATGATCTGAGCCGAAATGAAGAGTCAAACTCCCAACCAACCGACTGAGCCACCAAAGTGCCCCAAGGGACATTTTAGTTCTTAAGCTAGTTGGCATCGTGGGTGTTTTTTATTTTCATGCTCCATTCCTTAGATATACTTTGTACAATTCTTTTTTTAATATATGAAGTACTTGAAAAAAGAAAAACAGGAGATAAAATTGGGACTTTGAAGCCAGATAGATCTGGGCTTAAATCCCAACTCTGTTGCTTATTACTGGGTGGCCTTCAGTTAATTATTTAACATTCTTGAATTTTATTTTACTCATTTTTAAAATGGAAACCACACAGTTGTTTTAAGAATTGGCAGTAGTGTGTGTGAAGTGCGAAGCATGGTATTCACACAAAGTCAGACAAGTATTAGCTATTAATACAGTATAGTTTCAGATTTTGCAATCTTATTTAGATTTCTTTTCCTGAGCCTGTAGTTCCTTTCTTTCTTTTTCTTTTTCTTTCTTTTTTTTTTTTTTTTTTTTAAGTTTATTTTGAGAAAGAGAGAGAGCACACAGGTGGGGAAGGGGCAGAGAGAAAGGGAGAAAGAGAATTCTAAGCAGGCTCTGTGTTGTCAGAACAGAGCCCAAAGCGGGGCTCAATCTCATGAGCCACACAGGTGCCCCTGAGCCTGTAATTTCAAATGTAAATTCAGTTGTTTAGGGAAATCAGCCTTTTGGGCATACGTAGGGTAGTTAGAATAGAAACAACAAAGGAATTGATTTATATTTTTGTTTACTTACAATTTAGGTGGGAGACCTACCTGATGCAGATATTAAACCTCCAGAAAATGTGCTGTTTGTGTGTAAATTGAATCCAGTGACCACAGATGAAGATCTGGAGATAATATTCTCAAGATTTGGGCCAATAAGAAGGTAATCTCTAGAATTAGTGATTTTAGAAAAACTAGGTATTGGTGGTTTTCTAATGACATTTTTGGATGAATCTGTGAACTCTAGGATTTTGTACTGGTGAATTTTACAGATGACTCTTTTGCATAGCAGGGGAGAAAAAGATGTATTTATATGTGTATGTGTATATATAGAGATATACACACACAAATACACACACACATATATAATTGAATGATTCTCCCCCTTCCAACAGACATTTTCAGTCTAAGACAGGAAGTGAATGGAACAGTTTAAGTAGTTCTGTAGTATTCTCAGTAATCTTTAATATTGAAAATACTTATATAAGTTCTCGCTAGAATTACCAGCAATCTATGTCAAAATTAACTTTTTTCTTTTTTGAGTGGTCTCCACACCCACCATGGGTCTTGAACTCACAAGCCTGAGGGCAGGAGTCGCATGCTTTACTGACTGAGCCAGCCAGGCACCCCTATGTCAAAATAAATTTGAATCTAAATTTTCCCAAATTTTTTTCTTTTGCTAATAATGCTTTCTTCCCCTGCATTGTTAATGTAAAAGTCTATGAAGCTAGTATTTCTGTGAGAAAGGGAAATATTCTTGAGGAAGGTCAATTACACAGTTGACCTGCATGGTCAACTGCAGGTTTGAACTGCATGGGGCCACTTAGACACAGATTTCTTTTGATAAACACAGTATAGTACTATAAATGTATATTCTCTTCCTTATTATTCTTAACATTTTCTTCTCTGTAGCTTACATTATTATAAGATTACAGTATATAATACATGTAACACACATAATATGTATTAATTGACTGTGTTATTAGTAGTTAAGTTCTGGGGGAGTCAAAAATTATATGCTTATTTTTTACTGCAGGGGAGGGGGCTGGGACCCCTAACCACCATGTTGTTCAAGGTTCAACTGTAATTGATTAAAAAGTATTATTTTATGTTTAGAATTTCCTTTTAGGTTATGTTTTGGGGCTTTTTATTTGTTTTTTGTTTTTTTTTTTTTTTGCCTATGAAATCATTCTTTATTCTTCCTGTTGAAAGAAAAATCTTCCCATAAATGGCTACTCAACTTTATTCCTCCACGTACTTATGGTATATCATATTTACAAAAAATACTCCTATATTGCTACTTTTTATTTTTGAGTTTTAGATATTATATACTGACTTCCTGCTGAGGCATGTGAGGATTTACCTCTCTTCCTGCCTTCTCCATCTTCATTCATACCTCCTACTACTTTGATTGTGTCATAGTTTTGGTTAGATCATTATTCCATATTTACATTTTAATATATGTAAATGTCATAACAGTTGATCCATATGGTATAATGTGATTACTTTTCCTTTGTCTCACAATGTTTTATTTCCCTATTCATTTCATTTCATGTTTTTAAAATGAGACTTATGGTATGTGAGTAAATGGGCAAGCCAGGTGATTTCAACTCCTCTTATTGGCCCTTTTACTTGATTGTTAAGATGGATTAGTTCTATTTAATAGTTATAGTTATGAAGTTTAATTTGAGCTTGGTTTGTATTAAAATTCAAGGGCACACCTGGGTGGCTCAGTCAGTTAAGTGTCTGAATCTTGATTTCAGCTCAGGTCATGATCTCATAGTCATGAGATCAAGCCCGCTGGTCTCCGTGCTGAGCATGGAGCCCACCTGGGATTCTCTGTCTCCCTTTGCCCTCCCTTGCACACACGCGCGCTCCCTCTCTTTCTCAAGAAAATAAAAAAATAAAACTCTACAAAGTATAAACTTATTAAACATGTACATGTGTATGAATTTACATACAGTAACATTGTATACTACAGTATACATTCTGCAGTATCATTGTATACTCCGTAATTCATTTACATTTGGACTAGAAGTGAATAAAGACTTAAAGAGTTTTTTTAGCATTAGTTTGCTTTTGGCATGGTAAAGTAAATACTGTTATTCTTTCTTCAGTGCATTAGGAATTTAGGCCAAGATTGGTCATTTAGAGTAGAATTTAGATAATTTAGTTACTACACTGGTGAACTACTTTTTTTGAATTGTTATTGAAGAAACTGGGAGAAATATAGTTCCATGAGTTTAACTTTGACTTTTAATAAATGGCGTATTTTGTTCTTCACTTTTGAAGAGTAAGAGTAAATGCTTTTTTTTTAAAGTCACTTTTTCCAAACTTTCTTTCAGTTGTGAAGTTATCCGGGATTGGAAGACAGGAGAATCCCTTTGTTATGCTTTTATTGAATTTGAAAAGGTAGGTCATTATATAGATATATTAAGTTTATATTTATTTTGCTCTTATATAGTGTTAAAGTATGAAAAATTATAAAATTTTTCCAGTCTCTGAGATTAGAAAATTAATTTGCCCTTTAGGCACCCGAGAAAAATAATTTTATTATACCCTCTATTTAAATAAATACAACATCTGTTGGTGTTAATATATGTACCTTTAGTTTAGATTCAGGTATAGTCTGAGTGTATCTTTAAAACTTTAACGTTTTAGGTAATGTCTTTCATGTTGTAGAAATGATTTTTCAGCATTGTTTACATAGATCTGTAATTGAATAATAGAGAACTAGACTGAGTATAAAGTTCTAGGTGTTAATCTGAGCTCTGTCACTATTATATTTGACAGTTTATCTGGAACTCTCATTTCTAGATATTACCCTCCTTATAAATAAAACCTGAATATTGGATTAGATGGTACCTTCTAGATCTATAATAATAATGATGAGAGCTTATGTTACTCAAATAGCTTTCTTTAAGCCAGGTGTTACACTACCTGATACGCATTTAATCCTTACAACTCTGTGAGAATAGGTACTGTCCTCCTTTTCCAAATAAGTAAGCGGAGACACATAGTGGTCATGTGACTTGATTAAAAGTATGCCCCCAGTGATTGCCTACCATGTACAGATGATGTTCTAAATGATACAGATACAGAGATGGCTAAAGCTTTGTATCCTCATGGAGTTTATGATCCATTTAATTCTTGACATACATGGTAAATAAATATGATTGTAACTAGGTTTTATTTTTTTGTCTGCTTCTCTGAATTGCCTGTAGTAAGTTGTGAGCAGACCAAAGGATACATTTCCAGGAATATAGGAGATAATTGATCAGTGCTGGGTTGAAATGCATCATTCCTAGTGTTCAGATGTCCGAAATGGAAATACGGGGTTTCAAAGTTGCTGACGGGGAGAATCCTTACGTAACAAGGACTTTGGTATCTCAGGCCCACAGTCCATTATCCACACCATTGGGAATAGCTTTGTTTCTGATTTCAGGCTTTTCCAGAACTTAGGTAATTGTGTATGTGTGTGTGTACACACACCTGTGGACTGTGTCATACTCCTCTGGGTCAGCACTCCATAATCAATCACAATTTCTGGACAGAAATGAATGCATATTCATACCAAGTGGAATAAATTAAGTCCATAGTCTCCTGTTAGGGGACTGTTTTGTTGTCAAATGGATTTTAACACCAAATTTATAAAAACAACTTTGAACTTTCGGGATATTTTTGGGTTTTGAGTAAAAGGGGTTATGGACTTGGGGAACACAATTTGTAAGTATATGTATGTCCACTACAGTCAGACTGCCTCAGCTCACGTCCTGGCTCTCACCTTTGCCAGCTGACCTTTGGCAACTTCTATGCCTTCCTAGACTGATGTTTTCTCTTTGAGAAAATGGAGATGATAGCAGGTAGTAGTTCCTCATACACTTGTTACCAGAGTTACCTGGGGTCACAGGCACAAAACATTTAACGGCATTTCGCGTGTAATAAGCTTGCAAATGTTAGTTTGGGTAAAAACAGACTTTTGTATTTTTGGTATTTGTTGAAGCTGCAGAAATCTTTTCCATAAAGCTTTATGCTTGAGTTTTTATAATTACTCTCAGGAAGAAGATTGTGAGAAAGCATTCTTCAAAATGGACAATGTACTTATAGATGACAGAAGAATACATGTGGATTTTAGCCAGTCTGTTGCAAAGGTTAAATGGAAAGGAAAAGGTATGTTGGTTCATCTTCCTTTGTTTCTGTTCCGCGTGCATGCTTGTGCGTGTGAGTGTGCTTACGTGTATATCTCCTTTGACTTAGTGCTGCTCATTAGGAGAAATGTTCATTGATGTAACTTCTGCCATTTATGGTTTCATGTAGCTGCTATCGAGAATCTAAGATAAAGGGGAGTGTATGTATGTGTGTGTGTGTATTTTAAGCTGATGATGAACATATTTACTGGCTTTGTATTATAAATTACTTTTAACCCATTTAAACCATTGCAGATATTTGCAAAATGATGGTTGTGGTGGCTTGGTTCTTTTAGATGCAAAACAGTTTTTTTTTTTTTTTGTTTTCGTTGTCATATGGTACAAAGTTGGAAAGGTCCATGAAAGGTGGTGTAAAAAACTCTCCCACTTCTGCACCTCATCTACCCCATTTCCCTTCCGAGAGGTAACTACTCTCGCCTGTTTCTTTATTTTCCGCATACATTCTTTGAATATACATGCATATGTGTTTATTTTATGTTGAGAATTTTCTCTCAACGTGTTTTTTCCCCATATATATTTTATGTATATTTATAGGTTTCTCCTTTAAAAAAGGAAGTATATATATTTTATATGTATTATTTTCAACTTTAGAAAAGGATAAGGCAAATGGATGCAGGCTATACATACTGCCTTCATATCTTGCATTTTTCATTTAATAATACATCTAAGAGAGCAATTCATGTTAGTGTATAAAAGCGACATTCTCAGCAGCTGCAGTTTTCTATTGAATGTATATATCATAATTTATTGGACTAGTTCTATTAATGGACAGTGAAGTTTCTAATCTTTTGTTCTTCTGTTTTACTGTCCCTGTGCATATGACATTGTCCACATACGCATATATATATGTCAACTGAATTTCTGGTAGTAGCATGTCAAACTTAAGATTGAATGTCTGTATGCTAAAATAATGTAAGTTTTTGATTTTTGATGCAGTATTTTTAGAAGATTTTACTTTGACAGTTATTCACCACATCATGCTAAATTTTACTAGGAATTCCAGGATTACTTTCTTTTTCTATAAAACTTTTCTTTCTTTCCCATGATTTTTATGAATTCTTTTTTTTTTTTTTTCCAAATAAGAAAGAACACTACTTGAGAGTGATGTGCTCGTTTGTTTGGTAGGTCATGGTACCTTGTGGGAGTTCAGAAAAAGAAATGATCAATGTCCAAAATAGGTGAGGAAGGCCCGCTGGAAGCTGTGTTCTCCGTGGTGGGAGACGGTGACGGGTCAGGGTTCCTTATAGTGTTGGTTTCTCCCATGAAACTGTCGTGCTGGATTGCATGACCAGATTTGCACACTGCTCTTCTATTTTCAGTGACTCGCGAAAACTAAACGCACTAAGGTGGTGTGTTTTTCACATGTAGTAATTGCAGCTTTGTAAACAAAAGAATCAAATAACTGTATTCAAGAACTATAGAGGAGCTGTTGGCCTAATGCACTCTAGTTCTGGTCTAGAAGTAGCTCTTCTGTGGGGCTTTTTCCCCAAAGAGCTAATTTAATTTTAGCATTTGGGGTATGTGTGAAGCCAGTGTAATTACAGTTCCTCACCACAGAGAAAGAACTTGAAGCACAATCTTGTGAAGTGATTTATTGAGAGTCACATAAACTGATGATATAAATAGGATTTAATTTAGGTTTTGTTTTTTTTTCCTCTCGATTCTTTTCCTAACATATCCACCCACTGAAAAAATGATACTGCCTTCCTGAGTGGTTTCAATGTAGTTTATTTACAGAGGACTTTTTTTTTTTTAACTTTATTTATTTATTTTGAGAGACAGAGACAGTGCAAGTGGGGGAAGGGCAGTGAGAGAGGGAGAGAGAGAGAATCTGAAGAAGGCTCTGTACTGCCAGCACAGAGCCTGATGTGGAGCTTGAGCCTACGAAGGCGTGAGATCATGACCTGAGCTGAAACCAAAAGTCAGATGCTTAACCAGCTGAGCCACCCAGATGCCCTTCCTATGTAACATTTTAGAAAAAAGTAAGTTCACTTTAAAGTCCTCTCTAAGGGGCGCCTGGGTGGCTCAGTCAGTTAAATGTCCCGCTCTTGGTTTCAGCTCGGGTCATGATCTCCCGGTTTGTGAGTTCAACCCTGGCATCAAGCTCTGTGCTGACAGTGTAGAGCCTGCTTGGGTTTCTCTCTCTCTGCTCCTCCCCTGCTTGCTTGTTCTATTTCTCAAAATAAATAAATAAACCTTAAAAACTTAAAATAAAATAAAATAAAATGAAATGAAATGAAAAAAATAAAATAAAATGTTATAGAGGAGGGCTCCTGGCTGGCTCATTGGTAGAACATGCAACTCTTGATTTTGGGGTCATGAGTTCAAGCCCCACATTGGGTGTACAGATTATTTAAAATAAAATCTTTTTCTTTTGTAATATTTTCTTATTTTTGAGAGAGAAAGAGAGAGAGTGCAAGCAGGGAGGTGCAGAGAGAGAGAGAGGGAGATACAGAATCTGAAGCAGGCTCCAGGCTCTGAGCTGTCGGCACAGAGCCTGATGCAGAGCTTGAACTTAAAACCTATGAGATCATGACCAGAGCCGAAGTCGGATGCTTAATTGACTGAGCCACCCAGGCACCCCTAAAATAAACTCTTTAAAAAATAAAATAAAATGTCATATAGGAGACAGATGCTTTATTATTTTTTTTATTTTTTATTTTTTTTTTTGTGGTTTATTTTTTGTAACTGTTTGTAACTTTTTTTCCCCTTCCCTTCCCCCATGGTCTTCTGTTAAGTTTCTCAAGATCCACATGTGAGTGAAAAGGGAGACAGATGCTTTAGCTTCACATGCCATCATAAACATGTTTATTTGTTAACTGTAGTTAATTTTGAGATAGTTTTATGTATTATGGATTCGTATTTAATAAGTTGAATATATACTCTATACCGTTCACAGTGCTAAGTACTTTGTCTTATAGCTCTGTGAAATGTAGGTATTATTTTCGGGTTACAAATGAAAGGAATATAAATGAGTTTCAAAGAAGTGGCTGACCTAGGACCTTCCACTAGAGTCAGGATTTGACCACAGAACTTTTCACTTTAATCCATTGCTCTTTCCGTTATACCGTAACTGCCTCATCCATAGTGAAACTCCTGACAAGCACAGAATCTTTTGTCAGTGATGAAATGGTACCTGTTCGTTATAGTTATCAGTGTTGTAATGTGTGCAGTTGTCTACACGTGAAATATTGTGAAATGTTGTTTACTGGCCATTTTTGTTTCAAGAGTCTCTGGAATTACCAGGTAGATTCATTTTGTTTTTGATGCTTACCTACTTCTTTTATTCCTATTTTCTCCTTTGTTTAAAGAACCTGATGATAGGTTGTATGTAGGATTCCCAATCAAAACACCTCTCTGTGTACCTGCAGTTTGCTTTACTTGTACGTTCAGTCTTGGCCCTTGTGTACGAAGCCCTCCCACTAGAAGCACTTAGTCATGGTAGTTGAGGGGATAGGAAAGGCAGGTTGGTCAGCAGGTCTAGGACTGAATCTCCATCTGGTAGGAGAGTAGGCTTGGGAGTCAAGGGGCTGCAGAGGATGATGCTCTTTCCCTGCCCTGCCACTGAAGGCCAGTCAAGATAGAACGGTAGGTCCTATTTTTCTGGAGGGATTGTTGATTTCATTTTTGGCACTTGGGAGGAATAAAGGTGCTCTTAAGCAAGAACTTGAAAGCAGACACAGTTTGTCTTTGGTGTTCTTGCCAACCCTCCCCTCTCACACCCTTTAGTGAATTTCTGTGTGGGTCCTACTGTGCCCTATCTGCTTGGTGCTCTGTTGAGATTTTAGTCTGTCTCTTTTGACAGATCAGAGATCTTTAAAGCCTTACGTCTTCCAAGATAAGTCTCTCAGATCTCAGACTCCAGTCTCAAGCCATCAATTTCCTTTGGACCTAATTTTCTTATGGACTCAATGGTTCTCCTTAAACACTGCATTATTTCCCAGTGAAAGTATTCATTGTGTAATTTAGGATTGAAAGTTTGATGTTGTAATACTCTCATAAATTGTTAGGTGGCAGCATAGGGCTACCTAGCAAAATAGGTATCAGATTTCATTTAAAAACAGTAATGGAGAATGAATTACTAATCTTCAGTCGTTTTCTGTTCCTCAGTATATATGCTACTTATAAAATAGCTCATGTTATACCTCTTATAAAATAATTTTTGTTCTTTGATAAATTAGGTGAGTTTTCTTACTAAATTCTTTTTTTCTTTTTTTTTTTTTTTTAATAAATAGGTGGGAAATACACCAAGAGTGATTTCAAGGAGTATGAAAAGGAACAGGATAAACCATCTAATTTAGTTTTGAAAGATAAAGTAAAGCCCAAGCAGGAGTATCCTTCACAAGAACCAGTTGGTGGATTTAGACCATCCACTCTGTGTAGAGTACTGTGTGATATGTTATAAGTCATAAAGTCTGTAGAAGACAAGGTTCCTGAATCCAGATGGTTTGTGAAGACATCATTTAGTTTATTGTTAATATTTTTTCACCGTCTTACATATACTTTTCTCTTTTTGGTATTTTCTCTATTTTATGGAGTTTACAGTTCAAAGAGATCTTTAGCCTAATTCTTTTCCCTCCTTACTCTTAGGTTAAGGTTAACACTTATTCTGAAATCTTCAGGTAAGATTTGTATTTTCTGTATATAATTGTAATGTTTTCAGTTCCCCATAGTCAGAAATTTTCTTCATATAGTTTAGCTAAATTCTTGGTGTTAACCTTCCTTGTAATGTTTAACTTCTTTGGAGATGGTAAATGTGTAGATTGACAAAATCCTTTTGTTATTTTATATGATTAGGTTGCTTCTTTCTGCTTAGTACATTGTCAGTCTAGCAACAAATATTTATTTGGCTCATACTGTAAGCAAGAGTTGATTTTTTATAGGATTAAAAAGAAATTCATTGACTTGACCATTTAATTTAAGTTTTTTGAGGTTTTAGGTTGAGAAAAAAATCAGAGACCTACTGCTTACATTATGTCATTTCAATTTTTTCATTGATATTCTCATTATAAATCTGTCACTCTACACATTGCAAAAGTTATTTCTTTTGTGATGCTTTCTGGTAAATGGTTTCTTTGTTTCCTAATTTCTGTTAGTAGTTTAGGGATTCTCTTTTCCCACACTGCCTTAGACATTTCCTTTCCAAGTATTCATCAAAGAAAGATGAATATCAGGTTGACTTGTTATATACTCATGTAAAAAAATGTGTTGACTGTCTACAATACATGAAACATTGTAAGGTGTGACAGCTGGATAAAGCTGAAATACACTGACATAATCAACATGAGGAGAGGCTTTCAACATGCATACACAGCAAACAGTAAGCTAAGTTCCAGTCTAAAAAGGTGAACATTAGAGGAGATATGATTGAAATATTAAAATCATAAAAGGTGTGGATGGAATACACTTGAGATTTATTTAACAAATCTTTGAAATTAAATTTAGACTTACTAGTAACTGCAGCTGGAAGAAGGGAAGTGGGTAGGACAAATAAAAGGAAGTATAGGCATAGAGTATAAAGTACAGGGAGGTGTCTTTCCCTCACAGAGGTAAGTAGGTCAGGCTGCAAAGAAAGAATATGTAGTATTAAAATGTTTTAAATTTAAGATGATAGATTACTGAAAGTTAAGAAAGGAAACCAGGTATGTTTGAGAAGAAATCTGTAGCCCAGTGCTCTCCAGTAGAATTTTCTACAGTGCTGGAAAATATCTCCACCATCCAGTATGGCTAGTAACCACATGTGGTTTTTTGAGCATGTGAAATGGACTGAGGAACTGTAAAGTTTGTTGAATTTTAATTAATTTAAACAACCACATTTGACTAGTATTGAAAAATGCTTGCCTTCAGTCTTTTGAAATTGACGGAGAAGACAGACACGTCCTGATGTAAACCATTGTTAATCATTCTCAAACAGAATATTGAACAAGAAAAAGGAAATTCTTGAGTCTGACCAAATACGGTGGTCTTTATGTTGTTGGTAGTTGATAGATTTCATTTCAGCAAGGCATTTATAATCTCAGGTAAAATATTAGATTGGTAGAACATGTGTTTATAATATGTAAGAGATAAAAAACAAAAAGTATAACATGTAAGAGATATATTGTCCTCATTCTATATTGTATGTTACTTTGTTACTACGGCAAGGAAAGGCGATTTAGAGGACAATGTAATAATCTGGTAAGTTTTTTTTATAGTAAGTTTTAAGTTACAAAGTCATTGTGGAGATACACTTTAATGGATCTTGAGAAAAAATAAATTGCTGTAAATTAGACTACTAAGAAGATTAAAAAATAGAACAAAAGGAAAGGCAAGTTTAACTTAGGGTAGATCTCAGGGAAGTAACTGTGGAAAAGAAGACGGGAGATCTCAAATTTGTGTTTAACTGGAAAGATTTGGCATCTACAAGTGTTGACTATAGTAGTGAGCAGAAGATAGTAGCTAAGCAAGGGAAAAGAGATGTGACAAATGTCACATCTGGTGGTATAATAAATAATCTACAGATACTTATTTGGCATCTGATGTATACTAAGCAGTAAAACATAGCCCCTGCCCTTATAGATAACCTTACGTTTTATTGTTGGAGAGGGGGGATGAACAGACCTTAAATAATTACCGTGGATCAAATATAAATATGTCTGTAGTGTCGCTAAGAAGTGCGTTTGTGGGATATGGGGATATGGGACTTGTAGAGGCAAGGAGTCAGGGAACACCCTCGGGTAACACTAAGAGAAATGACAAAAGCTGCAACTTGAATATGAGGAGAGGAGGGCTGAGGTGGGATGCTGTTTTCTCTAACTTGATCCATCATTTCAGAAATACAGTTTATATCTGGACCCACCACAGTCCAAGGATAGCCATTCACGCGCACACATAATTGAAACAAATGCAATGGTATTTTTCCGAGGCTCCGTATACTCTTTTCTGTTCTACATTATTACAAAGTGCTGGCCGTGACCCACTAAGTGGATTTTGCTCCCCATTGACAGGTTACAGTCAGCAGTTTGAAAACCGCTGCTTAAAGCGTTTTGGACAGAGGGAGCGGCATGTGTAAAGCAACACAGTGAGGTGAAATGCTGGGCACGGGCTACCAAATTTGTACCTGAAGAAAGAGGGGCTCCAGAAGCTACTCTGGAAACTGACCTACTATAAAGGAGCAAGGAAGTTAGAGATGATGGAGTAACGTAGTGGATGGCGCAGGCTGATTAGCCATCGCAGCCATCTTGTGAAACCCAGAGGGTGCAGCGTTTTCCTGTTGCATCTTCTGTAGAAGTGAGACGTCCGTGAGGAAAGCGCAGAGCCGCGGCAGCGTGAGGCCAGACCTGGAACTCGAGTCCTGAGGGAAGTGTGTCTGCGATTTACTCTAGTCCCACCTGCCACTAAAATTGCTCTGCATGTGGGCCTTCTTCAGAAGAGTTTTTTTTTTTTAAACCACTATTCTGACACTTGTTAGCCTCCTTCAAATTCTATTAGAATTTGAGGTTATTTTCAATAGAGGTTGTAATAGTTTTACATTTTCTCTTATTCTAAGATGTAATAGTACATTAGAAAAAAATACTTATCTCTGTATTAAAATACATTATCATAATTTTTATAACACGTTTATGTGAACTTAAAACAAGATTCATTCATGTATATAAATATTGAATCACCATGTTGTACACCCGAAACTAATACAATATTGTATGTCAACCACACTTCAACTAAAAAAAAGATTCACTCAAAGTTTACCACCTAGAAAAATGATGCTTTTTCTCGTTCCTTTCAAGTCTTCATCTTTTATGCTTTGTAAAGTTAACGATTACCATATGGTATAGACAGTATTTCAGTCTCTTTTCACTTTTAATTTTTCATAAACACCTTTCCAGGTTTTTTCATTGCATTCATTTATCATTGCTAGTATCTTTCTTTGCAATAATCCATCATGTTGAAGTTCTACAATATATTGAAGACTATCTTCATTACTATGCTTTATGTTGCTGTCAGTTTGTTATTAAAAATAATCATTATATATGTCTTGGTTCATTTAACTTATTTTAATTTTTTATAAATTCTTACTGTAATTTAAATATGGTAGTTGTGGGTGCCAGCGTGGTTCAGTCGGTGAAGCATCCGGTTAAGCTCCAGTTTGTGGAGCTTAACGGTTTGTGATCTCACAATGATCTCACAGTTTGTGGGTTTGAGCCCCGCATCGGGCTCTGTGCTGAGCGCTCAGAGCCTGGAGCCTGCTTCAGATTCTGTGTCTTCCTCTCTCTCTGCCCCTCCCCTGGTCATACCCTTTCTCTCTCTCTAAAATAAATAGACATTAAATAATAATAAAATAAAATAAAATATGGTAGCTGTTGCTCTGCATTGCTGAATTTCCTCCTATAGGGTTGAACTAATTCGTACTTCAAAGGAAGAGTCTCCTGAATGTTCCTTTTGTCTTATGTAGCTCCTCTGCCATTGGGGTTTGTAATACCTTCTTTTTTTTCCAGTGAAACATGTGCCTCCTTTTCTAAGTTTAAGTTTTTTCATTATTAACAAATAGGTTTCCTTATTTTTTGCTTCTTATATTTTCATTTGTGGATACATGTTTTTTGCCCACCTACTTGCCGAGTGTTAATAGCTTGTTTAGGGTCAGGGTTCTTTCCATTTTCCCTGACTATGTAATGAAAGAAAATAGGAGTTAGTTTTGTATTAGAAATAAACTCTATGCTTGTGAGATGCTTTTTGCTTTAAAAAGTTACCTTTAGCCTCATGGCCTCCTTTGTTTGTCAGATTCTTATGTTTTGATGTGTTATCAGTGTCCGTTCCCACATCTGTCCTTAACTAGCTGCTGCAGTGCGAAATACGATCTTGTACTAGATGAGCAAGGAGAGGATCCGAAATCAAGTCACTCCCACACAAGTAAGAAACACAAGAAGAAAACTCGTCACTGCTCTGAAGAAAAAGAAGATGAGGACTATATGCCGATCAAAAATACTAATCAGGTACTTCGAGTGTCCGGCCTTAGCTGCAGGGGGGTAACCATTTTATCCCTCTGTACATTACATCTTAGCGACATAAGTTAGGGACTAACATTTAGATCTGGACAGGGTGCATATGTTCTAACCCCAGTGGTTTCATTGGGGTTAATGAACTTTAATTGTCAAGAATATATATCACAAATGATAAAAGATTGTTTTCAAAGTAGCTTAGTATATCATTTAGTTCCATATTGCAAAACAAGTGTGATTTCCATGCATGTGGACACTAATTCCCATCAGTGTGGTTATGCTGAAAAAGTGCTCATTTATCATTTTCATTTATTACCAAGTGTTACGTATAGTACCGGTAGCTGTTGAGGTTTTCAGGCCTGTGGAACATTTATGCGTTTCTATATTGTGTATCTGAAATAAAAACAGCACTCATAATTAACCACGTGAGGACTTCTCAGCCAGGCCCTGGTTGATGCAGAGATTTTAGTAGGCAAAGGTGAGAAGGGAGAAAATTCAAGATGGTAAGTAAGAAGGTCAAGCAAAAATGCAGAGGAGAGATGTGTATGGTTGGCAAAGTAAGGGATTGGCTTCGGAAAAACTAGGTGTACATTTCGGCACGGCTGTTCGTTGATGTGGCCTCCACAAGTTAGTGAGCTTTCTGAGCTACAGGTTCCTCCTCTGTGAAATTGAGATTATATTTACCTTATAGGTATGTTGTTGAGATTAAGTGAAGGAAAACGTGGGTGCACACATTTTCTACACTGGGTATTATTACTTTTACTGTTACAGTCAAATTAGTGTGTTTTTTTTTGTTTTGTTTTGTTTTTTAATTTTTTTTTCAACGTTTTTATTTATTTATGGGACAGACAGAGACAGAGCATGAACGGGGGAGGGGCAGAGAGAGAGGGAGACACAGCATCAGAAACAGGCTCCAGGCTCTGAGCCATCAGCCCAGAGCCCGACGCGGGGCTCGAACTCACGGACCGCGAGATCGTGACCTGGCTGAAGTCGGACGCTTAACCGACTGCGCCACCCAGGCGCCCCCAAATTAGTGTGTTTTAAATCACTTGGAATAGTTTCTGTGGTAAGGCCAGTAACTAGATTGATACTTCAGTTTGTTTCTTTTCGATGTTTAGGGATTGCTTAAATTTTTTTTTGTTTGTTTTTTAGTTTTAAAAATCACTTGTATGGTTCCAAAGTAAAATCTAGAAAGTGGTACAAACGGAGAACCTGTCCCCTTCCCTGTCCCCTGTCCCCTTCTGCCCCCAAGGTAACCATTTAATGTGCTTCATGGGTTGTTCTTCATTTTTTAAAAATTTCAGCAGACACGTATTTTACATATATTCTTAGTTTCCTGTATTCTAGATAGCATATATATTCCTACTTCTTGCTATTATCTTGTGTGTCTTTTTCCATAGCCTTTCTGCTGTTTAAAGATTGCCATCATTCATGACCTGCCCTCATTTTTCAAGTTACACCTTCACTCAGTTACTCAATCCTCCAAATAATAGGCACATGAATCCGTAATAGCTAACATCTTGTGTGCTTACGGTGTGCGGTGGATGTGATTTTCCCCATCTCACAGCAGAGAAAGTGAAAACTGGAGAGGTTAAGCGGCTTGCCTGGTTTTGTACCACTGATAAGTAAGAGAAGCACAGTGTAAATCTGGACGTGTACTCCTAACCACTCTGCTGCTGCTCTTATCTGGAATATATTCCTGGCCGTTTCCTCTCCTAAATTCTACTGCTATCCTAATATAGTTTGTCCCCTAGTATAATAATCCAGTGTGATCTAATGGAACATCTCCCTCTTCTTATTAATGTCTGTACTCTATCAGTTTAGCCTAAGACCACCCCAATCTTTTAAAATGGTGGCTGCGTCCCGTTTCTGTGACTATTTAGCAGATTTGCCACTAAAACTCCTTGGTCTCTACCCCTGCTTCCTCCTACCACCACACTCACCATGTGTTCCTTTTAGCTGCAGTTTCTCATCTTGCACTTGTACATGGAATCTGGAATCAGTGAAATCAGGCCTGAGATATATTTTGGTGTATTTGAAATCATCAGAGGTCCAAAAAATCCAAAAGCTGGCCACATTTTAATTAAGTCTGTGATTCCCTCCTCTTTTTGCAAATCGTTTTTATCCTCTCTTTGATTACTTAAAACTTTATAATAGCAAATACTTTTGTTTTTTGGCAAGGAGTAAAAGGCATCAAGTAGTTTTGGGGGGAATGTTGTTAGTATCTTTCAAATAATTTTAAGTCCATTGGTAATTATAAAATTGTTAAATTCGGGGCGCCTGGGTGGCTCTGTCGGTTGAGCGTCCGACTTCGGGTCAGGTCGTGATCTCACAGTCCGTGAGATCGAGCCCAGCGTCGGGCTCTATGCTGACAGTTCAGAGCCAGGAGCCTGTGTCTCCCTCTCTCTCTGACCCTCCCCCGCTCATGCTCTGTCTCTCTCTGTCTCAAAAATAAATAAACGTTAAAAAAAAAAAGTTAAAAAACATAAAATTGTTAAATTCTAAATAATAATCTCCTAACTTTATTTCTCCCCTCAAAGTATATTAAAGCAAATGTTTTTGTATTTTGTACTTGGTTATTTTTTTTTCAGTGTATTTATTTATTTAGAGACAGAGAGCGTGGGAGGGGCAGAGAAAGGGGGAAAGAGAACAGACTCCACACTGTCAGTGCAGAGCACAACACAGGGCTTTATCTCATGAATGTGAGAGCATGACGCGAGCTGAAATCAAGGGTCAGACACTTAAATGACTGAGCCACCCAGGCACCCCTGATTTTGTACTTGATTTAGTATACTAATCAAATTTTCTCTTATTTTTTCTTATACTAATTTTCTCTTATTTTTTTTCCAGTTAAATAGCATCTGTATTTAAGATTTTAGTGGGCCAGATTTTTTTTGTATTATTCTGATCTTTATCCTTTTGAGTTCAGTCTCAAAAATATAATCACTAAAGGGAATTTTCAGTGCTAGATTATTTTCAGGTATAGCTCAGATTTTCCTATTTATTGGTATTTTGCTTGGTAAGCCTAGTTCCCTAAGAATGTTTTAACTTATTTCTTGAAGTTCTTTGTTTTTTGTTGAGTGACAGACTTACTATTGAATTCGAAAACTTCTCTGTTTAATTTTTTCACCTCGTGTCTTTATTCCAAAGGTGGTTACTATGTTGTTGAGGTTTGGGCTTTACTGGGGTTCCAGGAAGTGAGTTCTCAGCTGTGGGTTTTGCCTTGCTGAGAAGTATTCATTCTGGCTGTCAGTCCTCTGTGGCTTTTAAGGTGTTTATTATTCTTACAATTTGGGACTCTATTTTTACTGTCATTTTAATCATTTAGTATTATTTTAGTGATTTAGATTTAACTAAACCTTTGATTGAGTCCTAAAGACCTGAGCAAGCATGGCTCTTAGTTTAGATTTTTTTTGGACTGCTTTACATGAAATCATTGGATAGGTTAAGGTTTAAATTGGCCACTTAAAAAAATAAATAAATAGGACTTTTTAATGGTGTTTTTTCTTTCCTTTTTAGCCACATGCTAGTTTAATCATTTTGTCTTATGTCTTAAGTGTATAAATTGATAGAATGTTTTCTTAAGATTTTTTTTTTGAATGTTTATGTATTTTTGGAGAGAGAGAGAGCAGGGGAGGGGCAGAGAGACAGGGGGCAGAGGATCCAAAGCAGGCTCTGCACTGACAGCAGAGAGCCCGATGCAGGGCTCGAACTCAGGAACCATGAGATCATGACCTGAGCCAAAGTTGGGCGCTTAGCTGATTGAGCCACCCAGGCACCCATAAAATGATACAATTTTTTGTAGTCTGTACTGGAAAGACTTAGAGCTCATCGAATTAATTTCTCTCACTTTAGATATAAAGTTCCTGACCCCACAGGCCTGTGAGCCTTGTGAGTTTAATCAGAGAGCTAGAACTTTAACATTATTTTGATTCAGTCAGGTATGAGGGGTTTTTTTCATTATTCTGTACCACCCCCTTTTCAATTTTATATGTCAAGTTACTGATCAATTAAATAATAATCTCCAACCTGTATAGATCTCTTGAGTCTCAATTTCTTTATTTCTAGAATGAGGGTAATATTGTGCCCCCAAAGCACTTAGCACTGTGCTAGCGCATACATACTTAAAGGATCTGTTCTAATATGACTTCATCCAGCCACCTGAAGTTTCTCTTTTATGCACACAGTGCTGATTTCTTCCTTGCTCTTTGGTTTTCACTTCCACTCTGTGCATTAGCCTTCCTGCAGCCAATCCACAGCCAAACCCACTCACTCTTTGAGGTTCATCTCCAGTCCTAACTTCTCTATGAAACCTCCCCTGATAAATTTAACCTCAAGATTATTTGTTTGACACATCTCCTAAATGGCAGAGACCATTTGAACCAAGAGCTGCCTGACTTCAAAGCTTGTGTAGCTTTGAAAATACTCCATCCAAGTAGGAGAGGTTTTAAGGCTTCTGTCCATTTCACATTTTCAGCTTCCTCAATTTTTTCAAAAAATTAAGTACTGTGTAGTCTTTTATCTCTTTCTCTGTTACTTTAAACACTCAAAGCATTTAATTGCCTATTTGTATAATTGCTGAGGACTTTAAAGAGTTACGCATCAGCTAAGCAGTCTCTCCATCTTAAAAGTTGATTGTCTCAACCAATACAAGAATTAAGTGTACAGACAGAATAGTACATAGGTATTTACATTTTGTATATGTTACAGGAAGCACCAAAAAATTCTTTGATCCGGGGCTGTCATGTTTTGCTAGAAAACAGTTGGTAAAGGGTTAAACCACATAGTCATTCTTCTACCTCGGGGACTCTTTTAGAATGACAAGACCTATTGGGATTGTGTGGGAAATTATGAATCAGTTTATAATGTTGTATTCCACAAACACTGATTATAACAATCATGTTAGATCTGTTTTCACATATGACAATCTCCATGCCGGGTGTCATGTACAGTATCTGGACAGTGTATGGAATAATTATGAATCTTTGCTTACAACCCAGTCCTTAACCATGGGTGTTCATCACTCTAGATTTTAAACCTTGATATTTATCTTTACTATAATGTCTGTGGTGATAGAGTTGGGACCCTTGGGAGCTCAATCCTTAGGATTTTGCCTTTCCTCTGAGAGAAATCTGTTAAGGAAGTTGGATTTTATAAACTTATCTCTTGAAAGAGCATTGGCTCTGGTCTCTTTAGATTTCAGCTACTTGCTGAGATACTCACTTTAATTAGGGGTAGAACACAAGCAGAAAGAGAATTGTTTTAAGTAACCCTCTTCTGTGTGTGGAAATTACTACTGTTAATTACTAAGAATGGAATTTAATGTCCCTACTCTATTGTCTGTCTTAAGGGCAGTGGAATTTTCCATTGTTTCTTAGCTCATTTTAAGGATATATATAAATAAATGATTTTTAATAAAAACATACATCAGTGTAGTGTAAACAAGGAAAATTTATTTGAAGATTTGGAGAGGAGCTGTTATAAAATAAACACTTGAAAAATAATGAGACCAAAGTATGCAGTATCTATTTTCCTTTTGGACTGACTGACTTGTCTAAAACCTCTCCTGGCTATCTCTTCTTTTAGGGGTAAAAGTAGGGCTTTTAGGGGAATTTTAGTAATTCCATTGCCGATCACTTGGGAGTGAAGAAGGGGGAGGTAGAAAGGTGACCAGCCACAACCAGAGTTCTTGGTGTCACGATTTTCTCTAAAGACTTGTTCTGTTTTCAGCTGGATGATTTCAATTCTTGGTTTTGGATCTGATCCTTTAGTTCAGCTGAAGTAGTAGATACAAAGCAATGAGATCGATAAGAAAAATGGTTAAGTCTCTTTGTGAATTATTTTTGCTTTCTGATTTACAAGATTCTGAGCATTAGTGGTAGTGTTCCAGTCTGAGCTGGTATAGCTGCTCGCTGAGTTTTATTAATTGACAGTGACTACAAGATGATTCTTCTACTCATTCACCTGTAACTGTCTCTCCATTCCTTTGACAGGATATCTACAGGGAAATGGGGTTTGGTCACTATGAAGAAGAGGAAAGCTGTTGGGAGAAACAAAAGAGTGAAAAGAGAGACCGACCTCAAAACCGAAGTCGTAGCCGATCTCGAGAAAGGGACGGCCACTACAGTAACAGTCACAAAGCCAAATACCAAACAGACCCCTACGAAAGAGAACGGAGTAAAAAGAGAGACCGAAGCAGGAGTCCCAGGAAATCCAAAGATAAAGAAAAATCCAAGTACAGATGAAAGACAGAGAATCAGACATGGGTGGCTAATGTATTTACTGTTGTCTAACTTGGAGCACCAGGTGCTCAGATATTGTGTCAAAGCGTCAGAGACTCTGCTTGTTATTTTTTTTTTCACACTAGGGTTATGGCCCTTTTCGATTAATACTGATTGTATAGGGCACAGAAAGACAATAAAAAGTTGAACATTTTCTTTGTATACTTTTGTACACTAATTTTATTGTTATACATAAATAGTGGTCTTCATTTTTCAAGTCTTTCACATTTTCCACTCTTCTCTTTTTTAAATGAAGTATTTCATACCTACAGAAACTCACAGATGTGTATATATAAGGTATAAAGAATAGTAAATATTTGTGTACCCATGAGCCAGCTCAAGAAATAGAGTATCACCTGCATTTTAGAAACCCTCTGTGTGTTCTCTCCTCAAGTGATGATTCTGAATTTTCTATTTGTCATTCTCCTGCTTGTTATAGTTTTACAACATACGGATGTATTCGTAAATAAAATGTTAAGTTTTATATGTTTTTGAATTTTATATGAATAGCATAATGTATGTTTACTTCTGTGACTTGCTTTTTTCAGCTTAGTATATTTTGAGAGTCATTCATTTTTATCGCTTTATAGTGTTGTATCAATAGACCACAATTTACCCATTCTTCTGTTAGTGGACATTTGGGGTTGGTTTGTGTGTTTTTGGTTTTGCTGTTGCAAACAATGCTGCTGTGACCATTCTGTATACAGGAGAGAGATCGCTTGCTCACGCAGTATGGAAATCCTCGTCTTTGCAAGGTAATGCCAAGTTATATTCTACAGTGGCCGAACCAGCTTACACCCCGACGCGCGTTATGTGACTTACCTTTGTTTCGCATTCTCTCCAACACTTCTTAGTTTCCTGCTTTTCAATTTTGTCAATTTAGTGGACGCTTAGTGGTATCTTCTTGTGCCTTCCAGCAAGAAGACTGCTATTATTCTTATGTTTGTTCTAATATATGTAACTTGTTCTCTTTCTCTGGCTGCTTTTAAGGTTTTCTCACTGCTGTTAAGAAATTTGATTATGATGTGCTTGGTGTAGTTTTCTCATCATTCTTCTGCTTGGGCTGTTTACCTGTGGGTTTATGGTTTTCACCAGGTTGGAAAATTTGGGGCTATTATTTATTCAGTTACTTTTTGCTGTTTCCCCTCCTCTCAGCCCTCTCCTAAGACTCCCGATTACTTGTATGTTAGGCTGTTTGAAGTTGTCGCACGTTACACGGATGCTCCATTTGGGTTAAGTCTTCTTCTCTGTTCCGTATTGAATAGTTTCCATTGTTATGTCCTCACATTCATTAATCTTTTCTCCTGAAGTATCTAATCTTCTCTTAATCCCACCCAGTGTAGTATTCACCTCAGACATTATTTTTAATTTTAGAAATTCCGTTTGGGTCTTTTTTATATCCCCCATGCCTCTCCTTAACATGCTTATCCTTTCCTCCTTTTTTTTTTTTTTTTTTTTTTTTTTTTTTTTTTAAACACCCAGAGTACATTAATAATAGCTGTTCTAATGTACTTGGCCATTCTATCTGTATCATTTCTGGTCTGTTTCTATTGATTGATTTTTTTTCCCCACCCATTATTGAGTTGTAATTTACTTTGTATCCCTGGTAATTTTTGGATTTTACGTTGTTGTGCACTAGAGTTTTTGTATTTCTTTAAATATGTTGAGCTTTTTCTGGAACATAATGAAGTTACTTGGAAACAGTCTGATCCTTTCATAGCTTGCTTTTAAGCTTAATGAGCCGCTAGGGCTAATTTGGCTCACCACGGGAGTAAACCCTTCTGAATACTCTCCACTATGCTTTGACTTTTATGAGATTTCCCCTCTCTGGCTGTGGGAACAAGAACTATTTTGAGCCCTATATGAACTCCCAAATTGTGCTGCCTGTTCTTTTCTGGTGGCTCTTTCCCACCTTTTGGTAGTTTCCTCATGTGCATACACGTGATTAGTATTCAGCTGAAGACTCAGGCAAACCCTCTGTAGATCTGGAACTCTCCCTTTGTAGTTTCCCCTCTTTCCAATTCTCTGCCCTACAAACTTTACCTTGGCTCTCCTGCATTCTGTGCCCATGGAGACTCCCTATCACCACGCTGTAGTGTGGACACTGTGCGGTAACCTCAGACAATTATTGGACTTGCCTTGTTCTTCTCTTAAGAGTCACTGTCTTGCATTGGCTGTTGTCCAGTGTCTGAAAAACTTTGTAGTATATTTTCTGTACAGGCTTTTAGTTGTTTAACGTGGGGAAGGTAAATTCTGCTCCTGTCACTGCTTTCTGGCCAGAGTAGAAATCTCAGTGTTTAAATTTGCATTTCCTAAATGCTGACAAGGTTGAGTATCTTTTCATATGTATTATAGTCATTCTTGATTGCTTTCTGTGAAAAGTTTCACATGTCTTTTGCCCATTTTATGTGAAGTTGTCTTTTTATTACAGATTTCTTTGAGGAGTTTTTCTTACGGATTTTGGATACTAATCCATTTTTACTATTTGATGTTGTAAACATTTTTTTCTCAGTTTGTGGCGTATTTTCTCACCTTTGTATTGATATGCTTGGAAGAGCACAAGTTGTAAATGTCCCCTCAACTTTGTAATATAAAAAATTTCAGGAGTGCCTGGGTGGCTCAGTCGGTTAAGCGTCTGACTTTGGCTCAGGTCATGATCTTGTGGTTTGTGAGTTCAGGCCCTGCATCAGGATCTCTGCTGTCAGCACAGAGCCTGCTTCGGATCCTCTGTCTCTCTCTCTCTATATACCCCTCCCCCACTAGCACACTATCTCTCAAAAATATTTAAAAGATTTAAAAAATTTTTTCATATAAACACAAAAACAATGAACATCTATAAGCCTTCCATCCAGATTTAACAATTAATAACAACTTGTTGATCCAATTTGAAAGTAAATTGAAAACATGATGAAATTTAACCTTTCAGTATTTCACCATGCATTTCTTAAAAAGCAAGTGTCCTATATAACCACGATATTATTATCACATTTAAGAAAATTAACAATAAGGGCACTTGACTGACCCAGTCTATGGAGCGTGAGACTCTTGATTTTGGGGTCATGAGTTGGAGTCTCATGTTGCGTACAGAGAAACGAAAAGTAACAATAATCCCAGAATAAATAACATATAGTCTACATTTGAATTTCCCTGAATATCTCAAGAATGTCATTTTTAGGTATTGATTTGTTTTTAATCCCAGGCTCAACATTCATGCATCACATCTTGTTCTCATCATTTTATTCTCTTAATCTAGAAGAGTTTCTTATCCATCCTTCCCACCTCAAATGACATTGACTTTTTGAAGAGTTCAGGCCAGAATATTTCTTAGAGTGTTTCAGATTCTGGGGTGTCTTCTAACTCTTCTCTATTTCCCGTAAACTAGAAGTTATGTCTAAATGTTTGATTAGAATTAGGTTATATATTTTGGGCAGAACTTTTTAAGTTGAATGTCAAATTTATTAGCCTTTCTCTGTGTGTTTTGTGTTTTTTATATTTTGTTCAAGAAGTCCTTAATAAAGATATTCTCCTATATTCTAAAAGTTGTAAATAAAGCTTTGTTTTTTAAGTTTAAATCTTTAATCCACATTGTATGTGTGTATGTGTATGGTGTGATATAGCAAAAAAAATCTTTTTTTTTTTTTTAACATATGGATGTAGCCAGTTGTCCAAAACATTAGTGAATAGATCATGTATATTCCCTGTTGATCTTCTATCAGGTAAGTTTCCATATATGTGTGGATTTTGTTTCATGGGCTCTCTCTTCCATTGGTTTACTGTTTATCCCTCCAACAATACCACACATCGATATTTCTATGGCAATAGAAAGTATTTAAGCAACCCCCCCCCCCGACCTGTTTTATTAAAAATGCCTCTGCCCTTTGTTTTGTGCAATTTTGGAATCAATTTGCCTGGTTTCCCAAAGAATTCTTTCAGGATTTTAATTGCATTTGCGTTCAAACAATGGAAACTTTTGTGGAAAAAAAACAACAATCATAATATTGAATTTTCCTATTCATAAAATAGCTTCTCTCTCCAGTTAGTTCTTGAACCTCTTAGAATTTTCCTTACAAAGCTTTTGCACTCCTTTTGTTAGATTTACTCCTAGTTTCCATATATTTTGTAAGACTCTATTCTTTTATAAATTTGTTTCCTGACCTAAGAGGTCACACGTGCCTTTCAACTTTTAATTTTGATATAATTTTAGACTTACAGAAACATTACAAAAAAGAAAATATGGAATACTGCTCATTTTCATGTCACCCTTGTGCAGGGGACGTGCTAATCTCTTTATAGTTCTAATTCCAGTATATGTGCTTCTGAAGTGAGCACACAAGTTATGTTTTAGATTACTGCCCTTCTATGCAGTCATTTTACTAAAGCCTTATATTTAAAACTTATCTCCAGGGTTTTTTTGTTTTGTTTTGTTTTGTTTTTGGTCTTTAATGTAGACAATAATGTTACCTGCAAATACATTGTATTTTCTTTCCTCATTCCTATTTTTAAAATTATTTTTAAAAATATGTATACCGGAAAACCTTGGATTGCAAGTAACTTGTTCAGCGAGTGTTCTGCAAGACGAGCAAACATTTTTAATTCTAACTTGATAAACGAGCGATTTCTTGCAATACCAGCAGTATGTGATGCCTAATGTCACGTGATCACAACTGAACCAATGGTTCTTGAATTCTCTTTGATAAACAAGTGCTTGGGATTATAAGCATGTTTCCAGAATGAATTGTGCTTGCAAACCAAGGTTTTACTGTATACTTTTATTTAAAAAAATTTTTTTTAATGTTTATTATTTGAGAGAGAGAGAGAGCAAGCAGGGGAGGGGCAGAGAGAGAGGGAGACAAAGAATCAGAAGCAGGCTCCAGGCTCAGCTACCAGCACAGAGCCCTACGTGGGGCTCCAACCCACAGACCGCGAGATCATGACCTGAGCTGAAGTCGGCCGCCCAACCGACT